TAAAAAAATATGGAACTACTTATTTATCAGTTAATTACTATGACAAGTGCTTTCCCATGCTAGAGGCTATTGATTTACCATACAAGACGATAATTTAAATGAGCTACGCTACTATTGACTAAACTAGAATAATCTCATACTACGATTATTGATAGTTAATAATCGTAAATGCACTCAAAATTTTTTCACCATACTTCTGTGTATCGAATAAGTTACAAGTATTGACTGTACTGCACCGCCTATAAGACAAAAATTTAAATAATCGTTAACTTAAATGATCATTTACTCAAAAATTGTCTATTTTCGGGACTTGCGCTTGTAGTAACTTTTGTTCAGAAGATTAGAATCACAACATGTGTTAATTTCAGCTAGTTTCACCAGGAACCAAAAGTTCTTTGAGTTACTGTAGGATCTTTTAAAGCCAATTTATTGTAAGACAAAGTAATTTTCCTATTGACTGCGACTTCTCTATTCGGGTGCAACTATTACATTTTAAGATAGAAAACCCATAAAAATTGTTATTTCCTAATCATCGGTTTTCCTCTTAAAGAGTTTATTTTTAACAGCCGTAAGGTGATGTTTAGGTAAAAAATTAAGTCTTATTTTTTGCACATTATAAATAATTTTGTAAATATGCTATAACTTGGCATAAAATTGTCCACCTTGAAGATATATTGAAAATAATAAGAATTATGATTATGTTTAAATATCAACTAACACTTTATTACTTGCACGTTAGGGTGAGTTTTTTTTTAATCCATAAGATTTGTTATTGTTGGTCTATTTTTCTTCCTTTGCAAGATATAACGCTTTTTCCAAATATTTAGAGGTTGTGCATATGCATGATCATGGAAACTTAATTTTGCATTTCAGTAATAATTTACTAAACACGACATGAATTTTTGGAAAAATTTTGAAATTGACATCCAAAACGTATGAAATTAAGGTTATGTTCAACATAAGTCAACCTCTCTCTATTTGTGCTCCATGATGGCCTTTTTTCTGAAGAGATCTAATTAGAATTCTTATTTTTGGCCTATCTCACTTTACTATCGATGTATGGCATACTTTTTAATATTTAGAGGTTTTGCGTGCGCATGACAAAATTTTTCTCTTTTATTTTGTGACGATGCATACACACTAAATTATATAAAAGTTATATTCGTTTACACCACCATACCTGTCTATTTGAAGATCGCAACGTTTTTTCCCTTCAGGTGACACAATTAATAGTAGTTTAGTCACCGTTAGCGTAAAGTAAAAAAATTCGGCTTAGAGAGTAGGGTTTTTGTATGTTCATACTCTAGATACGGACGTCGTTTTTCTTTCCGAGGGCGCGAAGTCAAAATTTAGGATGAATATAAAGTAATTGAATGGCACAAAGTAAGTTTCAAAGTGCTTACACAGAGCATAAAGGCTATGCGATACAATAAAAATTGCTGTTTCATTCTCTAGACATTTTTCAACCTCTGGTTATTTTTTGCATCCTCAGGAGTTAGGGCAAGTAATCCTTGGTGATGTTCAGGATACATGCGCCACCACATACGACAATCAGTATTTTTGTCTATGTAACTTCTTTTTCAAGATATAGCATATTCTTAAATATTGAAAATACATTGAAAAAACATAAAGTTAAAGTTGTGTATGTATTAAAACAAACACCTCAATATTTGCGCACAGTGATATTCTTTTCCATTTCGAAAATCCAAAACAGTTGTTATTTTTGGTGTATCCTGCTGCCTTTTAAGGACATAGTTTATTTTTAAAAGTTTGGAGTTCAAATTATAATAACAACCCATTAAGTAAAAATTGTATTACTCTATCAATCTGTCGAGCATGTGAGCATATTTTGGTAATTTTGTATTGTATTGTAATAAAATTAGTATCAAGTCTTTTCATAACTGTATTGCATGCAACTTACATTGGCGCATCATCACATTTCTTACATACACGTGTATATACATAAGTACATGCGTATATACTTACGAACCCACGGTATACTTAATACCATGCATTGACGATACATTACATATGTGGCAGAATCTTGAGGCAAACAGTGAGAATTGAGCCGTCACCAATACAATTATTGACAGATGATACTTACCATTCGAATTGCAGTATATACATGTACATACGTACGTCCGTACGTAAAGTGTATACGTTTATGTTACTGCTGATTTCGAAGTTCCCGCAACTGAGGATCATTTCTTAAACGTTAATAATTAAACTTTTGCCCATGGTAAGAAAAATCATTTTTCCTGCTTCGAGCGTTTTGGCGAGGTCGGTGTGCCCTCGGTAGAAAAAATAGCATTCGCCACATAAGCGCCATCTCTCCGTGACTACTTTACGTCCCTCGGGCCGCAAAATAGCCCCTAAGACGATGGCACTAATCCGACGAAAAATACTATTATTATTACTTTCCCTCCATTTTTCTACGCTTTCGTACAATCAGCTAGCATTTAATTCCGGCAACTCAAGCTACTCGTGCTAGTTTACTGCTCCTACTTATGTAGGTAACCTTTTTTTCACCTGTTACGTTAACTAGTATTGTTAATAATTTATGATTTTTTTTTAGTTTTATACCGTACAAGTAATCAGATCCAAAATTTGACCAAATAACTAAAATTTACATTTAGTGGGACCGAAAGAGATAACGCTATTTTAGATCCTTTACAGACAGTTTTTTTTCATAATTATGTGTATAAGAACCTACACAATTACAATGTAATACACAAAAACAATGTTACCACCGAATGTTTTGGTATTTTTGTCTTCAGGGGTTGTAGAGAAAGGTTAATAGTGTAAATCTAAGTGCCGTTATATATAAGAACGTCTTTATCGAGTACTCTCGTAAAGCTTGAAAATTCAGAAAAATGCAGATTTTTAAATTTGAAGAATTTTTTACGTGAAAACTGTGAGGTTAAAGTATATTGGGTTATTGGTATATACATTCCCGCTAATTTTTTGTTTTAGATATGTCAAAACAAACTGGAAATATTTTTTTAAAGAAAAATAACTTTAACCAAACTTGTTAAAATAAATTGTGACCAAGTTAGGCACAGGCAATATAAATATTTCCATTCTATAGAGTTTAATAACAACAGTAATTAAAAAAAAATACTACTGCGGAAGGATCTTGATTGACAACCACCAATTTCACCCATGTAACTGATATTGTGTAAAAAACCTCTATGTAGAACGCCAACACTTGTTCCTAGAGACATAAAAATTAAATGGCATTAAAATAATCATAATGCAGGTAGTGAGCACTATTATTGCGTCAGTTAGATTTAAAGGACGAAAAGTGTTTTTATGATACAATTAGGGTACAGACCTGAAAAACAGGCATATAAATATATAATAATTGAAATATACAACCTTAAGACAGAAAATTTCTACTATGCTGGTTGTTTTCTATCTAAATTACATTAAATTCTATGTTTTCCAGGCATCCAACAAATATCAAGATAAAAGTATGGTAGACTAATAAAACTTCTTAGAGCTTGCAGGTTACCTAGTAGAGAATGTGGAGAAATTGTTGGGAACTTTATTCGAAACATTCTTACCTCAAAAAATCAGTAAAGTTAAAGATATCTCACCTCAAACCTTAATGTTTCTCCATATACTTTTTTTCATTTAAGAAACAGAACTCCAAAAACACTTGCAAACCATAGCTTTCAAGTCTGTTTATAATTTTTTTTTTTTACCTTTATTAACACTCTTCTTTCGAAAATATAATATCAAAGTTAGTAAAAATTGTATTAAACCGATAAAACTTTTATTTTTACATTCTTTAGATCGCCAATCCTGCTAGGAATTTTAGACCGATGAATGGAACTTATTGCAGGATGTTGATAATTTAATAAAGTAATAAAGAAAATTGGAAAACTATTTATCGAACTACTTCCTTACTTTCCAGAAAAAAAAAAATAAATTTCTTTTTGACATCTATCTTTTCTTACTTTTTTTTCGATAGTTTGATCATTGAACAAAGATTAAGAACTTTAAACTTGTACCTTATATCTTATTATTTACTTTTTTACATTAAATTATTTTGAAACTGTGTAAAATCTGTACTAAAAAATAGTAGGTTTAACGTTCTTTAATTAGATTTTTTTCTGCTTCAATAATTTTTAAAAAGTTATCGAATGGCATTTAGTTACGGTGAATTATTTATAACACTTGTATTACAAATTAAGTATTATTTGTAATTTAAATCAGTTTTGAGCTAAAGTAAATTGTAAAATTAAACAAACCTATTTAAACATTCGTTTGATTTCATAATATTCTGTTTGTATGGATTAGATATCAAAAATTTTTTCATGGATTTATGTTTAACTTTTTAAAGAAAAAAATGACTCTCCAATTTCATAAACATCTTAATCACAGATAAACATCATTTGAAATACCTCTTTTTTTTATGATACGTGAAAGGATAACTCATTGAATTTTATGTTGAAATTTAAATCATCTTACTTTTGAATTTTTTTTTTTTAATTTTGAAAACCTAAAAATATCAGTTTTATTGATTAATAAAGATTTTTACTAACGTTGAGGTTATTTTATTTGAAAGATACCTGTTTATAAAGGTAAAAAAATATAAACGTAAAAGATGTGACTTGCAACAGTTTTTGGAGTTTAGTTCTTCAAATTAGAAAAGTATGTGGAGAAATATTCAAGTATGGGTTAAAAATCTTCCATTCTACTTATTTTTTAAGGTTAGAAAATTTTGAATAAAGTTGTATATAATTTTTCTATATTCTTTATTAGGTTACCTACAAGCTCCAAAAAGTTGTATTGGCCTACCATACTATTATCTCGAGTTTTGCGACTTTGAGACAGAAAATCGTTTCCATCCCACTAAGTGTCGTAAATTTAATAATGTTCAAAAAATTTGAATCTTGTTAATAAATAACTCAAAAGTGAGCAAATTTTTTTACAGTGAAATATGTATTTCAGTTCAATGATGACATCTCAAAATTATTCAATCATTTTAAAAATCAAATTTAAAAAATGCATTAGCTGCAATTTTTTATTTGCAAACCTTTACTACATTATAGTGAGGAATACATGTTATTTTATGAATATTCGTACATACTTTATATAGGTTGCTATGTCTGTGAATGTGTTTCTTAAAAACATTGAAATCGTAGAAATCAATGTGTCAATAAAATAAGAATAAAAAGAGAAACTTAATTCTATATAAAAACCATTTTTATACATTTAGAAACATTAATAATCATCTCGACTTCGATCTATTTTTGCTGAATCATTATCCATTCCTCGACCACGATTGTGAGAATGTGTTCGATTATTATCATTTGGTGGTCGGCATATTGAATTGCAGTGGTTGTGGCCAATTTTGGATGAGAAAGGACCGTGATTATTATTGTTAGAATTGTAGTCATTGCTATTTCCCGTATTATGTTGACTAGGAGATTGAGTTTGAAAATTTGATCCACCAAAATTATTCCTATCAAAGTTATCATTTGGTGGTCTAAAGCTTGGTGATGGTCCTGAAAAATGAAAGCCACTCTGATTTAAAAGTGTCCCTGTTTGTCTAAAGTGCACATTAGAGTGAAAATTATTAGATAAGGGTCTAAAATTGGAAGAACTGAAAGAAGACATTTGCGGTGGTGGTATATTCGACTGAAATGAAAGCTGCATGTTGCGGTGAGAAGAGACTTGACTTTTTGGAACATCCAACCCAAAATTAGCAGTTGCTTTGAAATTTTCAGGTATATTTGTTTTAAAAGATGAACTTCGCATAGGCATATTTGGGTTAATATTTTGCATATTGTGATGGTTAGATATATTTGGCAAATGAGTATCATTTAAAATATTTTCGTCTCCATCTCTATTGGCATCACAAATTGTTCGAGATACAGTGTTTTCTGTTTTTTTTATGACACACTGTTCTAGCCACTGTGATTGTTTTTCTGAGGATTTATCTTCAGCATTACCACAATTCATGTATTCATTTTGTATCTGTTCAATGTCAGACTTTTCAAAGATGTTTCTAGAACCAATGTTTTCTTGCAAGTCAGTCCTTCTTGTCAAAATGTTATCATCAAAACTTATATTTTTCTCTTCATTATCAATATTTTTCAAGTAATTAAAGGTATTTTTCACTGAAGTAGATTCTATTTTGTTATTAAAAAATCTTATCTCCTTATCACATTGTTGATGATTATCTAGAAACATACCACTTGAAGCTGGTTGATAAGTTTTAGCTATTGAATCGTTTAATCCGTCACTCCAACCAACTAAGTGTTCAGAGTTGTGTTTTCCACCACGGTTAAGCACTTTTAGAAGCTCTGGATTTTGTGAAAATTTTGAACTAGCTAAGGGAGCTGGTAGGTCTATTTCAGGAATTTTTGAATAGTCAATTTCACCTTTATCTTGCAAGTAATCTTCACAATCTTCTTGTTCTTGCTTTAAGCAAATGATATCTCTTAATTCTTCAATTTCTCCAGATAGAACCAAACTATTAATCGCTTCAGCTCCTTTCGATATAGCTTCAGCTAACTTCGAACCCGCTGAAAAAACATATAAATATTAGAATAAAGAAAAAATTTTATTTTCTGTGAAACAAGATACACTACACCACTGATTTCCACTTATTCATGTACAAGCCATTTTCAGTCAACTGCGTAAAAAAATGATTTTTTAAAAATATTGTTATCTATTTATACTTTGCTCAAAAATATTACCACTAAAATTAATTATAGGTCCTTATAGCAACAATAATGTAAAAATTTGAACTTTAAAATATTAGTTCCAGTCACAACTATTCACCATTTTTTTAATAAAGCTTCTTAAAAATTTTTAAGAGCTTACAAAGTAGAATTTTATTATAAATATTTTACAATAATGTTCTTATTTTATTTATATAACTCTTTTATAGAGGGCTTTAAATAATGTAAGAAATATAGCATATTTTAGTTTATTTAAAAAAAAGAAAAAAGTACATACATACATATGAGTAGTTTAATTTGCGGTGTTAAGCGGAAAGTAGCACCACCCTGATGGTTGAAAGCAGAACTAATTCTACTACTAAGTATGTAGATCAAACAATATTGGCAGTAAACTGTAGTAAACAAAAGAACCAATTTTTTTTATCTCAAAATGGGTACGCAAAAGTCCTATCGCTTTTCTGGTAATATGTCTAGCTACAATAATGATTCAAGTGTAAATAAAAATATTATTCAAAGTATAATAAATGACACTAGTATTCAAAGACAATAAATGACACTAGTATTCAAAGACAATAAATGACACTAGTATTCAAAGACAATAAATCAAGGCATGTAACATAACAAAGAAAGTAACAACTCAACCATTTGGTTATTGCTTGCAGTGAGCATTTAAGAAAAGATAATTACTTTCAATGTTTTTTAATTATAATATGCAATACATCGTACATGTGAATTAATGTTCTTTAGTGACAGATATTGTTTACATTTTATAATCTGTATACCTTGACAAATGTATTAAGACACCTACAATATACTTACAGTTTCCTCTAGAGCCAGTTGGGCAAGAGCAGTTACAATAATATAATTATTCTGTCTCACAGCCTATAAAGCTTATTTGAATCTTCAGCTTATGTGGTTTTCCAAATAAATTATTCGACTTAAACATATACAGACCACATCTGTTAGGTGTGGCATTTTTTACCTACATAATCAAATAAATCCGATAAACTAATTTATGAAATACCTAACTAATGTTTTAATTATATTTGCACGTCTACAGTTTGAACTACATACTTAGTAGTAGATATAATTCAGCTTCTAACCATCAGGTCGGCACTTCTTGTGACTCAACACCGCGAATGGAGCTCAACAAGTAATAAGATTTTTCTTTTCATTCTTTTTTTCCTAGTGGCAAAAAAAAGAAAAAAGCAGGAAACAAAAGCTTTCGTGGGAAATTAGTTTTCCTATAAAAGCCCCGACAAAATGTAAATAAAACTTATGCACCGCATTTTATAGCAGATAAGAAGTATAAGAAAAATAACGAAACAGTGGAAGAAAGTTTGTATCCTGTAAATTGTGTGATGAATTGTGCGTAGCATAGAATATAAATAAACCAGCCTAGAAAATAAACCAGCAAATAGTTTCATTTCGTAAATTAATGTCAGTGCTAAGAAAAAAATAGTAGAACGTACTAAACGTAGTGAAGGGTTATTGGGTTGAAGAAAAATGAGAAGACGACATTAGAAATTCGATTGACAAAAGTCTTTTATTTTAAACTAACTTTACTTATACGACTTCACAAACTATATACGACTGACTTGGCTACAACAGATTTTTCAAGGTATACAGACTTATTTTTTAAGGAAAGCTAAGTATAGCATGCATGCTTGACTAGGGTCAAATCAGAACTGAGCAGGCCTGACTGAAACTGTTCATACATCTACTCAAATACACGCACATATACACTCACGCATACCTACAGCCTATCAATACAGTCGTGCACTGCAACACTTTCTCCCAACTTGAGATAGCTAATAAACTATAAAAGTACGAAAATATTATTTGAATTTTGAATTTTCTATGGCCCTAAAATTAAGGTTCAAACAGGCCAAGGGTCACAGTCATCCTGCGAACACCTTACTTCTTGTCTAAAACAAAGTATGTCATATTAATCATTTATTTTGGTTACAGACTTGATGAAAAATATGGTTTCTGAATTTTTCGTGGAGCTTGATAGGCAAGGATTTTGTAAAAATGCCTGCCGTTTGTTCTCTAGTATTCAGCCACTTTCCATTTACTCGGCCCAAAGTGACACACTCCTTGATATAATGTTCATGAATTTCTGTCATAATGTCTTAATTTCCGACTTCCACTTATTTTTTAACTTAGTTCCGCTGCCTTGTTGTCGCACCAGAGGTCAGCCGAACTGTAGGTTTTTTTTTCGCACTATAACATCCAAGAATGTGAACAATCAACACATTTAATGCAACGTGTTGATGATGTAAAATTCGAGAGTTCAGCAGTTTTAACCATCATTTACTGTATGATTATTGCACAACCGCTGTGCTCGTGCCAATCGAGAGTAATTAGGTTACGCGGTCATAAGTCACTCAGACCTTCAACCTGACGTGTCCTCCTTAAATGCACGAGTCCTTATATCCCCCAAATCCTTTAATCTAAAGTAACTATAAGGATTAAAAAATGAGTTCTGTTGCGTGTTTTAACCGAATGTACAACCTTATTTGGTGTTAAGCTGCTTGATAGAAGCGTGCATTTCAAGGTTAATGTAGACTAGCCTAAGAAATTAATAAACGAGGAACAATATAGAAAGGATCGTTTACTTGAGTTCCAAGGTTGAAAGCAGCGACCTAATTATCATTATCGCCTGAAGTACTCTTGTGTAGAATTAGAATCATCGTTGTGATTAACCTTGGAAGATCTTGCGACTGCGTGCGCACAAGAAGAGGCTAACTAAGGATCATAAAAGTAAGCTAAGTTAAAAAAAAATCTGAATTGTTGAAACACTGCAAATGTGAATCTGCAACTTTATAATTTATATTATTGTAAAAAGCGATAACTGCCGGCTTAACCAAATTTATTAAATCATTAGATAAAACATAAGACTAGGTGGTAGATTGAATTTATATTCTTAACTCAAATATTTCAAGATTCAAGATTCTAATTAAAAGAAACATAATTTTAGCTTCGAAATATAAATTAAATACCAAACAAAAATAATCAGGTAACGTATGACAAAAACCTTTACAAAGACGTAAGATAAAGAGACGAATGAAATACGCTACTACTGCATTATATAAGATATAAATTCGAACAGTAGATCAATGCCAGCTTAGTGTACGACTCACTAACACCACTCTATACATACCATTTAGTGTAACCTAACACCATATCACCGATTCAACGACTTAAAATACACCTATACTGTAAGTAAGAGCAAATAAGGTCTTGTGGCCAACGGCTGGTTTCTGACAAACAAAAATTAAATTTGTTTGTTTGTAGAACCAATCTATGAATCTCACCTTTTACTAAGAAGTTTAGACGTAAAAAATTGGCATTCCATGGGAAACTAAGCCTTTTGTTATACTTAAAGTACATATTGACTGAATTAAAATTTTCATATTTTTATTACTACTGTTTCAATTTTTATTTTCAAAATTTCTTTATAATGAATCATATACTTAAAGACATTACCAAGGTAGCTGACGTAGCTACAAGGATGTAGTCAGATAAAAATCGATTTTTTCACGTTTGATGACAAGACGCACTGGTCAAGGAGACAGGAATATTAGGAAATTAATTTCTAGCTAAAAAACGAGCCAGACTATTGTTATAACATGGGAGCCTTGACACTGAAAAGAGAATTTATATGTCCTATTGTATTTATGAGAAAAATTGCAACAACTAGCAACGGAGAGCGTATATTAGAATTGCTTGATACAACGACAGAAAGTATCAGAAAACAAAAAAATTTTTACGAAATTATAGACGATATTGGCATTAATAAGGAAGACTGGGAATCTCAGCCAACTACTTATTATACATATACTCTACAGGAGTTACTTTTGAATAAAACTGTGTATACAAAATACACGCTAGAATGAGGATTACAATATAAATTCCTATAATGCAAACTAACAGCCACAGACAAGCATACCTGCGCTTGATAAAAACTACTCCTGGTATATTTATGTGAAGGCAGTGGTAACATACGATAAAGATCACTGTTTTGTAATGGTGGTAAACACTAGAAAAAAGCTAGTAAAAATCAAAATTTTTTTCTCCCAATCTTGCATCTTTTAATTTAAATGACTCAGAAAACTTTCTCGATTCAGATTTGAGTGATGATAATCCTAACACCACAGCAGAAGAAAGAATCAAATATATCACAGAAAAACTATGCTAATATTATCACGATACGACAAGTTACAATTAACTGTGCCATGCAATAGACGAGTATCAACATCTATTTTATATCAGAGGCAATGTTGTCTTACATACATCGAATGACTAGCATAATACACCGACAACTGACGATAAATCTGTTTTTACTTCACAATATAGATATTCTTCTGCTCTACACAAGGAAGTTGGAGATTAGATCGATAAATTATTACAAAAAGGAATCATTAGCTACTCTTCTAGCTCATACAATAGTCCGCTGTAAATTGTCCTTAAAAAACCAGGACCTAACGGGACCTATATCTATGAGCGACATCGTCTCGTTATAGATTACGAAAAATTAAACGCTAAAACCACTGATGTTCGATCGATCTGGCCAACAGATTTTATCAAATGGAAGTATCTTTAGAAGATTGCTACAAAAAAGCTTTCAGAACTCTATATGGACGTAACGAGTATACAAGTATGCTATTTAAATTATGCAATGCACCAGCTACATTTTTAATACCCATGGATTCCGTATTATCAAGATTACAAGGCACGGAACTATTTAAATGATTTTATAGTACGTGCCAAAACTTTAGTCAAACAAGAAATAATTTTTTAAAAATTACAAAATAGACTAACAGATACTAAAACAAAAATACCGCTAGATAAATGTAAATTTCTGACTCCTGAAGTGACATATTTAAGACATAACATAGGTGGATATAGAGTGAAACCTGATCCCAAAAAACTTAA